TAGGAAACAACACCTCCACTTCGCTGATCCTCAACACAAGGGTGCGTGCTCAGCCCCCGGCTGTTCACCCATGACTGCGTGGCCACGCACGTCTCCAACTCAATCATCAAGTTTGCAGACGACACAACAGTAGTAGGCCTGATTACCAACAATGATGAGACAGCCTACAGGGAGGAGGTGAGGGCCCTGGCAGAGTGGTGCCAGGAAAATAACCTCTCCCTCAACGTCAACAAAACAAAGGAGCTGATCGTGGACTTAAGGAAATAGCAGAGGGAGCACGCCCCTATCCACATTGACGAGACCGCAGTAGAGAAGGTGAAAAGCTTCAAGTTGCTCGCCGTACACATCACTGACAATCTGAAATGGTCCACCCACACAGACAGTGTGGTGAAGAAGGAGCAACAGCGCCTCTTCAACCTCAGGAGGCTGAAGAAATTCAGCTTGGCTCCTAAGACCCTCACAAACTTTTAGAGATGCACAATTGAGAGCATCCTGTCGGGCTATATCACTGCCTGGTACAGCAACTGCACCGCCCACAACCACAGGGCTCTCCAGAGGGTGGTGCGGTCTGCCCAACGCATCACCGGGGGCACACTGTCTGCCCTCCAGGACACCTACAGCACCCGATGTCACATGAAGGCCAAAAAGATCATCAAGGACATCAACCACCCAAGCCACGGCCTGTTCACCCCGCTATCATCCAGAAGGTGAGGTCAGTACAGGTGCATCAAAGCTGGGACCGAGAGACTGAAAAACAGCTTCTATCTCAAGGCTATCAGACTGTTAAATAGCCATCACTAGCCGGCTACCACCCGGTTACTCAACCCTGCACCTTAGAGGCTGCTGCCCTATATACATAGACATGGAATCACTGGCCACTTTAATAATGGAACACTAGTCACTTTAATAATGTTTACGTACTGCTTTACTCATCTCATATGTATATACTGTATTCTATTCTACTGTATTTTAGTCAATGCCACTCCGACATTGCTCGTCCTAATATTTATATATTTCTTAATTCCATTCTTTTACTTTTAGATTTGTGTGTATTATTGTGAATTGTTAGATACTACTGCACTGTTGGAGCTAGGAACACAAGCATTTCGCTACATTAAAAGTCGAACCTCGCGCGTCCAAACTTACGCAGATTCTCTGACCAATCCTCAGTAATCTTCTTCTTCTTCGATGGAGTTTAATGGCATTTGGCATCCAATGTTAATGGTACATTCACCGACAGGATTTCTTGCACAGCCTTGACTGTGAAATCACGAAGACCCAAAAAACTTTCAGCGGCATTCACAATTATTCAAATTTTCCTAGACTTCTTCGCTTGTGCTGTACAGTTTCTGACCATTGCAATAAATATGATAAAGTCCACCTTTTTAACATGTAGCATTTCACTATCCCTTCACTGGTCGTGGTGGCTCTACTACCGTTGTTTCTTCCCCGCCACTCGTTCCTTCCACTCTTCTCACCGCCTCCAGATAGGAGACAGGCTGGACACTCCTTACCCTTGCCACCTCATTCTCCTTCACCCTAACAGAGCACTCCAGGAATTCAGGCGCATGTTCACCACCACAGTTGCAGCATTTCACTTCATCTGGCGTATGACACTCTTCCCTTCTGCACACATTTGACACATTATCAAATATTTTACATTCATGACACTGAAGGGGTTTGTGCACAAAAGCTCTTACAGGGTATCTCATCAATCCTAACTTTACATGAGAAGGTAGAGACTTTTCATCAAGAACAGTAGCATGGATCTAGTTAATTTATTTTCTCTATCCACCATACAGGTCTGTCTCTAGTAATATCCTCTGCCACCCCAGAAATAACCCCCGTGATAGGTTCCTTGCTATGAAAATCCATACAGGAAACAATCCACTCCGATATATTTTTTAGTCTTAAAACACGCTTTTTCTGCTCTGCAGACACACACAAAATAAAAATAAGAACACTTCTTGTTACTGTCACCGACTCCACACTTTCCTCCAACACATTCGGGATGTTAAACGGATTTCCCAAGTATCATTGATGCAAAACCCTCACCCCGACTAAAAATGAGTCTAGTGGTTTCCTATTTTCTACCACAGCTTTACTTCTCTTGTTTCCCTTCTTCTTCACCACTGTACCCCCCAGACTTGCCGGGCCCTGTACAGTGCCCAAAACAACCGCTCAGAGTTCAACAGGTTTTAATCACTAGGATATACTGTATAGGCCCACACCTCTGTTTCTACTTTTTGTTCATTTCATACAAAGTATACATATTTTGAAAGTATTCTTTGTTCACTCTAATGGCAACAAAAACAAACTACCTACAACCTTGCATTTTGCTTTATGATAGGATAAGCCATATGCATATGGCATTTACAAAAAAAAAAAAATAATAATAATAATTGTAAAGTGGTTATCCCACTGGCTATAAGGTGAATGCACCTATTTGTAAGTCGCTCTGGATAAGAGCGTCTGCTAAATGACGTAAATGTAAATAAGTCCATGTATATGGGCTCCCGAGTGGTGCAGCGGTCTAAGGCACTGCATCTCAGTGATTGAGGCGTCACTACAGACCCCCTGGTTCGATTAAAGGCTGTATCACAACTGGCCGGGATTGGGAGTCCCATAGGGCAGCGCACAATTGGCCCAGCGTCGTCCGGGTTTGGCCGGTGTAGGCCGTCATTGTAAATAAGAATTTGTTCTTAACTGACTTGCCTAGTTAAATAAAAAATAAAAATATGTTATAACTATTGATTTGTATTCAATCAATTTGAATTCATAAGTATTTATCAAGAATCAATGGGTATTTATCAATTGAAATGACTATTGCACTGCAGCGGGAAATATACCAGATTTTTGCCTTTAATCACAAGGATATACTGTATAGGCCCACTCCTCTGTTTCTACTTTTTGTTCATTTCATTTCATTTGTAGCTTTGAGGTGAGCAATTAAGATGTTAAACCACAAAATTACAATTCTCTATGTTTTGGTGCCATATTTTATTTGAGATTTTCCTGTACGGATGGTTGATTGATTGCAAATGTGTGCTCTATCTGCTGCTAATCGTAGATTAACATCATAAATGTAACAATGGCTGGCAGATGATAGGGAGAGGAAACCCAAAAATTGGTGAGTGTTCTCCCTCCCCAGAGGAAGTGGCGTGGTTGTAACCTATCTTGCAGATTAGCAAGATTTTTTCATCTGTAATAGCAATCAAAGCACCGACACTGCCTGAACTTCGTACTGGCAAAACATATGTTTAAACAGTTTCCGTTAATAGGCTCAAAGTCCCAGACGTTTATTTCCGCAGATGCCATCTCCTCGTTGTCTTTAAAAAATAAATACATGTATACAACAATTAGGGAAAAATATAAACAGGGCTTGCTTAGGTGTTACATGGTGATGAAATGTGCAGGGCCATATCCAACCCGTTCACCCTGAGCTCTAACAGAATTATGGTAATAACCACCTTGGGTCAAAGAGAGAGCCAGGCGGAGCCAATTTAGCACCTTACACGTCCAAAGAGGAGTAGGATAGAAAGTAGGCTAAAAATACTAACCTAAAATGGTATTACCATTTACCTACAGCAGTAACCCTAGCCATAACCCGAACCCTAGATCCATGTCCACACCCAGGTTGAACCCTAACCCTAGCCACAACACTAATCTTGGCATAACCTTTACCCTAGCTTTATGTTAATTCCTGTCTTAACCCTTACCCTAACACCTGCAAATAGGGCTCTCCCACCTCCGATTCCCAATTTAACCCCTTGTAATTACTTTTCCAAAATCTTTGGTAATAATAATAATAACTTTCTGACATAAGCTACTCCACCTCTCCTGGGACATACTGTATATATTTTTAATTTCAGAGCCTCATCATAAAGAACATCATATCACCATGAAACAATGTTGAAATAGATGTGAACGTCTCTCCCTTGTAGTCATAGCAGATAACACTCAGTAGCATTATTTATGCGTTGTATTATCGGCACTCAAGATCTATTGCTTTGATCAGCCCATGACTTTAACACAATGAGGATAGCACAGTACTTCTGTGTGAAAAAACGTATTTGTCTCTCCATGAGTCTGTTAGATGTGGTATAGAATACTTAGAAACCCCATGCAGATAGTCATCTTGCTCAATGCCTACATCACCATGCAGTGGAATCGTCACGGAGTGTTTTGCAGAGGGTAGGAGAGGAAATTATGTAAAATAGATTTATAAAGGTGCAATGTTTCTGGTTGTTTTTCTTGCCAAAATGTCAACTATAGCACATATAATATAGAATATATAGTAATAAATTATGTATCATTAAGGCAAAATGTTGGGAAATGTCAAAAGTAAAATATAGTAAACATGATTGACATTCTATAATCCAGATGTATGTTTAAATAAGGAATATAGCCAATACAGTGTGTAACCATGCCTTAATGTATGTATGTGTATTATTTTTGAGAAATGGTCTGCCACCAATATAATGAGATAAGAGGAAGAGGTCATATGGAAAAGTTCACATAGCCTTTTTGGAGAAAAACAACATGTGACATCTAGACGTTGAAAGATAAGGGTGGCGTGGCCATGAAAGAAGTTAATCAATTACCCTAAGGGTAGTAACTGTGTATGCTATGTAAGGATGACTATGCACTTGTATTTGTATAAAAGGAGATCTTTGAGCCAAGGAGAGCGAGTTGTTGCTCCATGGAGCAAAGCTCAGGCTTTGCTATGCAATAAAGTCTAAATTCTTGAATTCACAGGCTCCGGTGTCTTGAGAGATATTTTTGAGTTAATTGTCTCTTAGTCAAATATTTCCACGACAAATAGTGAACAACCATGAGTCATCACAAAACAATATATGAGATCCCTTTAAGTGGGCCTAATGAGAAGTTAACATAGTAGGAGGAGGTGATGTACTATGCAAGAACAATAAAATAATGTATTATCTGCAAAATCAATATATTATGTTGTCGGTAAAACACAATACATTCTATTTCAACATCTCAACTAATCTTGAATCTTGAACGCTTTACACATTAAGCCTATGAGAAGGTGGGAGTTACTCTGGGGTTTAGTACACATGGCATGAAGTACCTATTGTACCTCTCAGAAACATAAAGGAAAACAGCATTAATATGAGTGGAAGTGATCAGTTTATTTGGGTGTTACATGAAGGAGATATAATAAACCTTGAATGAGAGGGATGAGGGATTTTCAGTTGAGAATTACATATTTTTTTTTTACCACTATAGGGGCGGGGATAACTAAAGAGTGCACAGGAAATCATATGATTCATCGCAGTATGTAAACGTGCACATGGTACAGCTGAACAGCACCACATCAAATATATATGTCACCTAAACTGTAGATCGTATATAAGTGAGGTTTCAACACCCCAGTGGTTTTCATACAGTCTTACATCCCCCCTCTACAGGTTCACAGACAACAGTGCTCTTTTTTTTATAGGGAAAGTGATATGATTATCCTGTCTATCATATCATATCTGTGGGTGCTCATCTTTTTATGTATTTTCATTTGTAATGGATTTTTAAATGCAGTGGAGGCAGCTTCGGAATGCAAAAAAGGTAAAGTATGAGTTTTAGATTTTTAGGTGCTATTGTGTAGCTTCTCTATGTTTTGCTGGGAATTATACTCTACTGTGCATTGAATGTAGATGTATCTTGAATACTTTTTTCTTTACTGTTGATACTATTAAAGTTACTTCTCATGTGTTGATACTTATAATTAAATAATGACTCTGATGAGAACAATTACAGTACAAGGACAATAATGTGAATGATATTATCAAGGTGAGATGATAAGCAGAGGGAATGGAAGACTGTGTGAACCATGCCCTGAAAATCACTACCAGGCAGTACCAAATCGCTCTCAGAATTGTGTAATCTGCACCTCCTGCCTTAACAGTAAGTTATAATCATGTAGTAAGAAGTTATAATCAGTATTAATACATTCTGTAAAGAAATGACCTGTTGACAAAATAGAATATCTGTATAATGATCCCACACCAAATCTTGAGTTGAATCCAAATAGCATAAAATATGCCAGTGTAACCCACAGACAATTTATTTGTTTGTTTGTATCAATAAACTATAATATCTTTGTTTGTATTCAGACAGTGAATTGATATCAGAGTGCACAAAGACTTCCGATACTATATGTCAGTGTCGTACAGGATTCATTAGAAGAAACGATCAGTCTTCGATATGCAAGTGTGCCAAGGGGTCTGGGCTGGATCCATCAGGTAAAGTTTGAGTATGCAATACTGATGATTTTTAATGGATTTGATTAGTAAATGTAAATAACTGGCATTATATCATTTCTTGCCTCAGGATTCAAATGCAGTGAATGTCAGGCTGGATTCTTTACCACCAAAATCGACTCTAAATGTGTGAACTGGCGAGAGTATGTAAATAAACTAACTAGCATTTGTCCAATTTTTGCTATTTGCTGAAGTATCAAGCAATCTCCTTACATTTACAATATAATGTTGGACTTTTTGTCATCCGCTGGAAAAGCATTTTAACGGCACTCTGACTCATGGCTGTGTATCTGCCTGTGTCTTAGGTGTAAGAGTGGAGTGAGGATTCCGGGCAATTCGACATCAGATGTGATCTGTAATGATAATTCAGAGACAGAGGGGAAGACCCTCCCCTCCACACACACCACTTTCCCATCTGGCTCCATCCAGACCTTTTCTAAGTCATTGATCCAGAGCCAAGGGTCATCCCCTCATCCTAATGTGCCCACCTTTGCACCAGCCCCCACTATCAAGGTGACCAAAGGTCCCAAGTTCTCAACGGCAGACTTTGGCCAAGGTAAATGGTGTTCTTGACTCTCGTCCATGACATACATTAATATAAAACTTTGTATTACAGTTGATCATTGTATAGCATTATATGAATAATGCCTTATTTCTGTCTTCCAGTAATGACACTCTTTGGAACTGTCCTGCTGCTTACTTTTCTACTTACCGCTGTGACCTACAAACTGGTCATCATTCCTTGCATCAAGAACCACAAGAAGCCGGCTGTCAGAACATGTATGTGCAACTGTTAGGGAAACTAGAAGTCACAATCGTTATGAGAAGTGTTACGTTAGTTTCTTTAGCTATTATGTGTGTTGTAGTTATTTGAGCTTGAAGGACTCTTGAATCTGGAATGTCATCTGTGTATTCTGATTCTATTGTTCTACCCCAGCTCAGGACTCAATGTGCCGGAGGCCAGTTGAAGAAAGTGGGGACAGCAGTCTCTCTTCCCTGGTAAAACCACCAAGCTTGGGGGAGCCATGATAGAGATACCTGGCTATCTGTCTGTCAAACTATTCCTATTGTCAAAATGTTGCTATTATTCTCAATGCCACTCAGAATACATTTCTTTAAAACCAGAAAAAACTTTAAACAGTGTTTGAAGATTCTAAAATATGGTCAATATTTGATTCCCATGTATTCTGTTATTATGGAAAAGCATTTTAGACATTACTTTGTTTTCAATCTATTTGTCAACAATATAATTGTTCTCTGCTGCGCTGGGGGATCTAGATATTATGTTATTTTCACAAATGGCCTTCTGACAAAATAATGATAAATACTACTTCCTGTTCCTTCAGGTGTCTGTTTAGATTTACAGGGGAGATTATGTGAAAACAATGCTGTGGTGGCAAAATGTGTATTGTGTTAAATGTTGTAGTTGTTTATGTCTTTGCAAATAAACCTTTTCACATTTTACATGATCCTAATGGCAATATGCATATTCTTAGAAGTTGAGACATTTACATGAACTAAGACCCAGCAAGAACAGGATGTCCAGAGAGAAGAATGAATACATTACAGACACTGACACTGAGTAGGGGCTTCCCCCTGTGGATAGGCTTTAGGTCTGTTACTTATTTTCAATGAGAGAGATACTTCCACCCAGTCTGTATGATTTCCGCTCACGGTTTCAATCGAAACCATCAAGACAAAGATAGAGGCTGCCATCGTGAGCGACATCTTATGTTGTTGATCACTTTTCATGTTCTGATACTTCAGCTCAAAATTTCCCCTAACGTTTAGGTGGAAACAAAAGGTTCCACAATTGTTTTTCTCACAAAATCATCACTTTTCACATATCTCAGCAATGTTCATTACTGTGGTTGTAGTAGAAATGTAGTTTTACAAAATAAAGGGATATTGTGCGCATAATAGGATGGAAAATGAGTGATAGGTGATCAAAAACATTTCAATCTACATCAGCCCCTAATAAGACTGATTTGGGCTTGAGGTTACTGAAAAAATAACATGTTAGCCTTAACCATTTTTCTAAATGCATTCAGCATCAGGGTCAGTTACAGATGGGTGACCGCTATGTACCATGACTAGTTTTAGGTTTATCACAGTAGGTGCCAAGGATATATGATGATGAATCATGAATCTTGATGAATGATATGGAGTCAGGATCTTGATTTAAAGCCTCATCTAATAGATGGAACATTTTTAACAGCACAGGATCCCATCACTGGACTGGACCTGTTGTGATCTCACCAAAGGACTGATGCCCCCTGGTGGCCTACACCTTCCAGTAGCTGTTAGAGTTTCACCCATAGAATTAGGAATTAGAATTAGAACACTGATGATGGCTCTGTTTCTGTGTGTGCTTCTATCAAAAACTAATCTTACAGAAATGTGTCAAAATTCATAATCACTTTAACAAGCCAAAATGGTAGAAACATTAGCAACTTGACAAAGGCTAATGTGGTTACAATGTCGCATTACTGGCTTCATAAAAATCTCCCTTGTGAGCAGCAAACAGGGACCAGACATACACTACCGGTCAAAAGTTTTAGGACACCTACTTATTCAATGGTTTTTGTTTATTTTTACTATTTTCTACATTGTAGAATATTAGTGAAGACATCAAAACTATGAAATAACACACATGGAATCATGTAGTAACCAAAAAACTGTTAAACAATTTGTTTTTGATTTGAGATTCTTCAAATAGCCACCCTTTGCCTTGAAGACAGCTTTGCACACTCTTGGCATTCTCTCAACCAGCTTCACCTGGAATACTTTTCCAACAGTCTTGAAGGAGTTCCCACATATGCTGAGCACTTGTTGGCTGCTTTTCCTTCAGTCTGCGGTCCGACTCATCCCAAACCATCTCAATTTGGTTGAGGTCGGGGGATTGTGGAGGCCAGGTCATCTGATGCAGCACTCCATCCCTCTCCTTCTTGGTAAAACAGCCCTTACACAGCCTGGAGGTGTGTTGGGTCATTGTCCTGTTGAAAAACAAATGATAGTCCCACTAAGCCCAACTAGATGGGATGGCGTATCGCTGCAGAATGCTGTGGTAGCCATGCTGTTTAAGTGTGCCTTGAATTCTAAATAAATCACAGTGTCACCAGCAAAGCACCATAACACCTCCTCCTCCATACTTTACGGTGGGAAATACACATGCGGAGATCATCCGTTCACACACACCGCGTCTCACAAAGACACAGCGGTTGGAAACAAAAATCTCAAATTTGGACTCCAGACCAAAGGACAGATTTCCACCGGTCTAATGTCCATTGCTCGTGTTTCTTGGCCAAAGCAAATCTCTTCTTCTTATTGGTGTCCTTTAGTAGTGGTTTGTTTGCAGCAATTCGACCATGAAGGCCTGATTCACGCAGTCTCCTTTGAACAGTTGATGTTGAGATGTGTCTGTTACTTGAACTCTGTGAAGCATTTATTTGGGCTGCAATTTCTGAGGATGGTAACTTTAATTAACTTATCCTCTGCAGCAGAGGTAACTCTGGGTCTTCCATTCCTGTGGTGGTTCTCATGAGAGCCAGTTTCATCATAGCGCTTGATGGTTTTTGCGACTGCACTTGAAGAAACTTTCAAAATTCTTGAAATGGTCCATATTGACTGACCTTCATGTCTTAAAGTAATGATGGACTGTTGTTTCTCTTTGCTTATTTGAGCTGTTCTTGCCATAATATGGACTTGGTCTTTTACCAAATAGGGCTATCTTATGTATACCCCCCCCTACCTTGTCACAACACAACTGATTGGCTCAAACGCATTAAGAAGGAAAGAAATTCCACAAACTTTTAAGAAGGCACACCTGTTAATTGAAATGCATTCCAGGTGACTACCTCATGAAGCTGGTTGAGAGAATGCCAAGAGTGTGCAAAGCTATCATCAAGGCAAAGGGTGGCTATTTGAAGAATCTCAAAAATAAAATATATTTTGATTTGTTTAACCCTTTTTTGGTTACTATATGGTTCCATATGTGTTATTTCATAGTTTTGATGTCTTCACTATTATTCTACAATGTAGAAAATAGTAACAATAAAGAAAAACCCTTGAATGAGTAGGTGTTCTAAAACCTTTGACCAGTAGTGTATGTTGTTTGTGTCACTTCTGTAAAAAGCTCTTGTAAGTCATTCCATTTTGATCAGCATATTCAACCTGTTGTACTTGCAAGGCTATACCTGAGCTTGTAAAAATACAGGGGCGCAACTTTGGTTTTAGAAGTGGGGGGGACATCCTTTTTTAATATACACTGCTCAAAAAAATTAAGGGAACACTTAAACAACACATCCTGAATGAATGAAATAATCTTATTAAATACTTTTTTCTTTACATAGTTGAATGTGCTGACAGCAAAATCACACAAAAATTATCAATGGAAATCAAATTTATCAACCCATGGAGGTCTGGATTTGGAGTCACCCTCAAAATTAAAGTGGAAAACCACACTACAGGCTGATCCAACTTTGATGTAATGTCCTTAAAACAAGTCAAAATGAGGCTCAGTAGTGTGTGTGGCCTCCACGTGCCTGTATGACCTCCCTACAACGCCTGGGCATGCTCCTGATGAGGTGGCGGATGGTCTCCTGAGGGATCTCCTCCCAGACCTGGACTAAAGCATCCACCAACTCCTGGACAGTCTGTGGTGCAACGTGGCGTTGGTGGATGGAGCGAGACATGATGTCCCAGATGTGCTCAATTGGATTCAGGTCTGGGGAACGGGCGGGCCAGTCCATAGCATCAATGCCTTCCTCTTGCAGGAACTGCTGACACACTCCAGCCACATGAGGTCTAGCATTGTCTTGCATTAGGAGGAACCCAGGGCCAACCGCACCAGCATATGGTCTCACAAGGGGTCTGAGGATCTCATCTCGGTACCTAATGGCAGTCAGGCTACCTCTGGCGAGCACATGGAGGGCTGTGCGGCCCCCAAAATAAATGCCACCCCACACCATGACTGACCCACAGCCAAACCGGTCATGCTGGAGGATGTTGCAGGCAGCAGAACGTTCTCCATGGCATCTCCAGACTCTGTCACGTCTGTCACATGTGCTCAGTGTGAACCTGCTTTCATCTGTGAAGAGCACAGGGCGCCAGTGGCGAATTTGCCAATCTTGGTGTTCTCTGGCAAATGCCAAACGTCCTGCACGGTGTTGGGCTGTAAGCACAACCCCCACCTGTGGACGTCGGGCCCTCATACCACCCTCATGGAGTCTGTTTCTGACCGTTTGAGCAGACACATGCACATTTGTGGCCTGCTGGAGGTTATTTTGCAGGGCTCTGGCAGTGCTCCTCCTGCTCCTCCTTGCACAAAGGCGGAGGTAGCGGTCCTGCTGCTGGGTTGTTGCCCTCCTACGGCCTCCTCCACGTCTCCTGATGTACTGGCCTGTCTCCTGGTAGCGCCTCCATGCTCTGGACACTACGCTGACAGACACAGCAAACCTTCTTGCCACAGCTCGCATTGATGTGCCATCCTGGATGAGCTGCACTACCTGAGCCACTTGTGTGGGTTGTAGACTCCGTCTCATGCTACCACTAGAGTGAAAGCACCGCCAGCATTCAAAAGTGACCAAAACATCAGCCAGGAAGCATAGGAACTGAGAAGTGGTCTGTGGTCACCACCTGCAGAACCATTCCTTTATTGGGGGTGTCTTGCTAATTGCCTATAATTTCCACCTGTTGTCTATTCCATTTGCACAACAGCATGTGAAATGTATTGTCAATCAGTGTTGCTTCCTAAGTGGACAGTTTGATTTCACAGAAGTGTGATTGACTTGGAGTTACATTGTGTTGTTTAAGTGTTCCCTTTATTTTTTTGAGCAGTGTATATTTTTATAAACACTCCAAACAGCCTACCCAACCGCTCGGAGGCGTCCACGTGGTTCTAAAGTGCACTGTTGCCTTGTTTTGTATCACATTCCAATGATAAAACTGGGGGTGGGGGGGGGGGGGGGGGGGCAAAAATGCAATTTCAGAATGTGTGGTTGGGGGGACGGACATGTCCCCCGCCGTCCCCAGTGAAAGTTGTGCCCCTGTAAAAATATACCAGTATGTGTAAAAATATACCTGAGCACATCAAAGGTTAATTAAACCAGTCGGTTTAGGTGGGTCTCCACCACTAAAGGGTAGAGTTGAACAGATTACATGTGATCCTAGCTGTAGGCAGCAATGAGTGGTGTGTGCCATGGCTCTGTCGACTGAGAGGAGGCCTCAATAAGGGGAATTACAGCTGTGTATGTAGCCTACGATAGTATAGTGACATTTAGGGCCCCACACAACCACCTACCTCGTGTTCTCTGTGGTCCTGATCTGCAGCTGACGCCACTGTGAAGAGGCGATGTGACAGTTGTGACGTGTTCCTGTGGCTCATAACTGACACAGTCAACGTAGGTGCTCTCCTCGCTCTCTCTCTCGCTCTCCTCTCTCTAGGTGGGTTAGGAATGAAAGAGTAACA